AGGCCAATGTGGGTGGAAAAGTCAGAAACCTGAGCTGTTCTGTGGCCCTGGGGATTGCCCTTCAAAGAACTGGCTGTTGATTTTCTTCTTGCGGCATGAAGAGGGAAAAAAAGTCTATCTGCCACTGTTTTCTCTCTCTTACAGCGCCTGTGATGAGTGTCCTGAGCTCCTATTATTCACCCGGAGCCTTTCTCATGGAATGGTAAAGTGTGAATCAGTATTTGCTGTTTAATGCTGACCTGTCCACTGGTCTCGAAACCATCTTCATGACAAGTTTAATAAAACACTAAAGGGGTTTTGGTTAATTAAGGCACCCAGTGCTATCTCCTTTTTTGAGGGGTATTTGGGAATTTTTATTTTTTTAAGATTTTATTTATTTATTTGAGAGAGAGAGAGGGAAGAGGGGCAGCGGAGGAGGGAGAGGGAAAGAATCTCAAGCAGACTCCATGCTGAGCATAGAGCCTGACACTGGGCTCGATCTCACGACCCTGAGATCGTGACCTGAGCCAAAACCAAGAGTCCGACGCTTAACTGACGGAGCCACCCAGTTGCTTGGTGTTTGAAGTGAGAAGTTTAAGGACAGAAGTTGAGGAAACAGAAGGGATGGGTGTGGTATGGAGATTGCCTTAAAGAGGAGACCTGCCCTCTACTCTGGAAGATCTGCTCCTGGTTTTCCCTGGAGGCCAGTCGGGGAAGGCTCAGCCTTCAAGTGCGGCCTTTTCATTTTACATTGCTGCCAGTGTCTGAGTGCCTGTGTGTGTCCTCGTGCACGACGTACAGAAGGTCCAGGTGATAGAAACCCTAGAGAGTGTCTGCTATTCCTGAGTGGAGAGAGACAGAGCTTGGGTTCTGGTCCCCCCTCCTTTATCAGCTGCTGAGCCGAGGACACACTTCACCTCTCTGAACATGAATTTGCTCATCTGTGAAGTGAGGGGCGGGGCTGGCTCATTTCTAAGTGTTTTTCCACTTGAAGTCTTTGAGCCTGTGGTTATTTCCTTTTGCTCATCAACAGCCAACCCTTCTCAGAAGTCTGTTTAGTCGAAAGCTTGGATGTTGGCATCAAATTTGAGCTTCAGAGGGGTTGGACCATGTCAGGCTTCCTTGTTTGGGACAGAAGAAGACCACAGATCCACTCAAGCCATCACCTGATGCTCAGATTCAGGGCCAGTGCTGGTTTAACCAGCACCTTGGTGACAATCAGGAGAAAAGCATCCCCTCTGATTGGACTCAGTGCAACTGGGGTTGGGTCCACGGCCTGACAAGTGGAATCCTGGCTGCTTTCAGCCACGAGCTCCCAGGAGTCCTTGTGCTGTGCAAGAACTGCATAAACGTTAGCAGAGCACTCACTTCTTTGGGCTCCGGTTACTGGAGGTAAGGAGTAAAAGAAGTGGCCGGAATAGATGCATGCCATTGATATGACGGAAGGAGACTTTTATAATACAGTTAAAAAAGCTGCAAGTCTGGGCCTACAATACTCCCCAGATCCTACACCTATACAGTCTGTCTAGTTGGTAGCTTTAAGAGGAAAGATTAGTAATAATAATAAGACAACTTACATTTTTATAGAAACTTGCAGTTTATGGAGCACATTAAATGTATCTTTCTTCTTCAATTTGGTTCTGATTCTAACTATTGCTCTGGAGAGTAACAATTATCGCCATTTTTTTTAAAGATTTTTATTTATTTCTTTGAGAGAGAGAGATCGAGAGAGAGCACGAGCAGGGGGAAGGGCAGAGGGAGAAGCAGGCTCCCACTGAGCAGGGAGGCCAATGCAGGGCTCGATCCCAGGAGTCCTGGGATCATGACCTGAGCCAAAGACAGATGCTTAGCCAACGGAGCCATGCAGATGCCCCCAGTTATCCCCATTTTACATGTAAGGGAGATGAAGCTGAGAGATTCAAAGACTTGTCCAAGGAAAGCTAATAAGTGGTCAAGGCCAGAATTGAACCCATGTGTGTCTAGTTCCAAGTTCAAGTTTTTTTCCCTCCATACTGGGTCACATAATTTTGTGATCTGGGCCATGGCAGCCAGGCCTAAAGTACTATTCTGTCAGGGTTTAGAATTGGTCTGAGAAAGTCATCCTTCTTGTTCTGCTGATGGTAGGACTCTCCCATACAGATACAATTACTAGACTTGGGGTATGAGTTCTGGAGAGGTCTTGGCAGATCTTAAAGTTGAACTAAAGTATGCATTTCTCATATGATGAAGTGATTTCTGGGGATTCACTTGTTTGGTTAAATGTATCTGTATTGCCTGTGTACCCTTAACACAAGATACTCTCCAACATTTTAGGTATCTTGCAAGGCATCCTGGGAGGGCCTTGGAAGTCTAGAGAGAGTCACCTGGGAGTCACCATATGGTATGAAAATAATATCTCTAGGCCAATCATTATTGGCCAAATCTAAGACTTTTCAGTGTTCACATGGTCTCACTGATAGTGTTATTAACAGGCTCCCTTAGCCACCTTCAACACTACTTTTATGCACAACATTTGGGATAGTTAAATTGGAGCCCCCTCCATCTCTCCCTGAACTCCAGACCTGAATACCCATGACCTACCATGTATCTCCACCTGGGCATCTCCTGGGCACATCTAACCTAAATTCGTGTAAAGTGTTAATAGATGCCTTTGCTCACAATCCACTTCCCAAGCCTGCTGCTCCCTTAGTTCATATGATTTCCATTCTGGACATCACACTCCATCCCCCCCATCTCCAGCTCCATACCTTAAAATCATCCTCTGTTCCTTTCACTCCTCCCTTACCGCATTCACTTGGTCACGAGATGTACTTTGACTCTATTTCCTAAACACCATTAACATCCATTCCCTTTCCTTCGTTCCCACCGTCATGATCTTAGTTGAGGTCCTCCTTATCTCTGCTTCCTATCTCTCCAGGCCAGCTTCCATCCTGGCCATCAGTTGTCTCTCCAAACACAAGTCTGACCATACCCTTTCTCTGCTTAAACACCAAAAATGACTTCTTAGTATACTAGTTACCCCCATTACTTGCAGTTCTTCCAACGTGCCCTTGACTTTGCATATACCCTTTCCTCTGCCTGAAATACCCTCTCCCTAATCATTTCCTAATCATTTCCAACACCTTGCTCATCCATCATTCCTGCAGTGTTGACTTCCAGATAATTCCTAGGGGAGTTTATCACTCTCTCCTTTGGATCATTTCAGTGTCCCATAGCTATTGCAACTATAATGTGTATTCTTCTTCTTTTTTTAAGATTTATTTCTTTATTTGAGAGAGAGAGAGAGAGAGAATGGGAGGAGGGGCAGAGGGAGAGAGAGAATCCTGAAGCAGACTCCCTGCTGAGCATGGAGCCCAATGCGGGGTTCCATCCCAGGACCCTGAGATCATGACATGAGCCAAAATCAAGAGCCAGCCACTTAACCGACTGAGCCACCCAGGCGCCCCAACTATAACGTGTATTATCCTGCACTATAGTTTGTTTCTGTACCTTGTGTTATTTATCAGATTGTGGATCCTCAAAAGCAGAAACGATCTCATTATCTCTGGATTCCAAGGACCTGGCATGCTGCCTGGCACACAGTAGGTATAGTAACTATTGTATGAATGAAGTCAGTAACTTAGCTTTTTGAGTGTTTATTATTCTCTTGAGTTTAGTATTCATAAAAAGGGCAGAAGTCATTCTCTCTTTATTCTACCAGCTAAATATTGACAAAGTATGGAGGCTGGAGAAACATTTGTTTTGTCCTGTATTTCTTTCCTAGATTGTATCTTGGGTGGGACTGGGGAGCCAGAATTTCAGAGGAAATGAAGTACTCAATCAGAGTTCCCTGCACAGCTGCTTTGCTAGCCCAGCACTGGGCAAAGGGGAGGCACATCAGAGTAGGAGATTGATGGTAAGACCCTTGCTAAATTCTTTGGAACTTGACAAATGACACATCAGTGGTACTTTTCAGGCCTGTTCCTTATAACTCAAGGCTCTCCCATTATTCATCTGGACTTCAAAATGAGGGTTCCTTAAAATTCGCTTCAGATGCTCACAAACTTTAGCTGAGTGAATGAAATGCAGCCGCTTTGAAGGAAGGTGCTTCTGAGGAAGGAGTGATCTCAAGCGCACCATTCCTTCCCTTCCTCATTGAACAGAATCCGCGGAGCAGTCGGGCAAGGTAGCCAGCATGCTGGCTGCCAGCCGTCTCCGTGAAATTAGGGCAGTGCTCCTGTGGGTTGGTTTCCCTTTCGGTTAGGCAGGACATGTGTTCCTACTAGCTAACGTATATAGTTTATTTAACTCAATTATTACACAATGTATGCTGGGAAGCTCTTAAACATACTAGGGAAACGGTCTTTTTGTGTCCTCTACCTTCACAGGTGAGCTGGGGGGCTGGGAGTGGGACCATTTAGAGACTCAAAGAAATTAGTAAGCAATCTGTGTCACAGTAAATCCCCCAGAGGCTCAGAGGCTAGCAGACAGGTTCCCATTCCTGGCTCCAGGCCATATTTTCGTTTCGGCTGGTTTCTTAGCCCTGTTGAAAATTTGGCTTCACTTAGAACAATTGAGAAACATCAACGACTGAGGTGCTTTGTAGTGGGTCTCAGGCCTTGACTTTTTCAGTAGCAAGTAGAATGTCGTGCTGTCCCAAAGCTCCTACCGGCAGGCAGCATTGTCAACTGGACTAAGAGAACTCCACCCCAATCCCTCACCCCCAACCCATGCGGACTCAGCCCAGAAGCAGATGTCAGCTTGCTGAGAATCCTCGAAAAGAAGGGAAACAAACTAGAACCAGAGTCGTGAAGGACCAAGGATCCTTAAATCTCACTTATCTCTGGGGCTGGTCAATCCTTATAAAGAAAGAAAGTGAGCTAGAAGTTCCCTTCCCAACAGAAGGCAACTTAAACCACACACACACACACACACACACATACCTTAAAATGTATTAAAACACACACACACGCAGCTTAAAATATATTAACACACACACAGCTTAAGATATGTTAACACAAACGCACAGTCTTGAGACGCACCTTTCAGTCCACCGGAGGGCTTCCCGCAGGCGCGGTGGCTCAGGGGTCTCCCGCGCGCGCGGCCCGTCTGACAGCGACAGTCCCGGGTGAGGTGAAGGTCCGGGTGCGGAAGCCCGCCCCCCCCGCCCCTCCCCCGCGTGGAGCCAGGTGCCGAGTCGGGGGCTCAGCGGGGGCCGGGCGCCGCGCGTACCTGCCGCTGGCCTGGAGGAAGGCACCCTCTGCGTTCTCTGCCCTCCCTCGGGCCGATGCCTCGCATTTTTGAGGTTTCACTCCAACTCCGTCCTGCCCCTGATGTCAGAGACACAACTTCCTGAATCCGACTCGCCCTCTCTCCCGCCGCCTGGGCTCGGCCCCAGCTCCCCTCCCGGGCCCACTGACCGCCGGTGCCCTTGGACTCGGCGCACCCGCCCCGACGCGCCCTCCTCCGGGTCTCCCGCCGCCCCCCCGCCCCCGCCTCGCCACGCCGGGCTGGTGCCCCACTAGTGCCGGAACACGACTCCTGCGGGACCCGCGCCCTCCCCGCCCGCCACGCCCGTCACCAGTCCATTTCACGGACGCACCAAGTTCCCGGGACCTGAGACACTTCCGGGGAGACTCGGCTTAGGTGAAGACAGCCCAGTTTTGCCTAAGAGAGCAGCCTTTTGGCAAGGGAGTGGAAGGCATCTGGGAGGGAGGCCATGGGACAGATTGGGTGAAGGCTCCCAAGCCTTATCTGGACGAACAAAACAACCAGCTGCCTTATTCACCCGCTGGATGCCTGGGGGGGTGGGGGGTGGGGACCGTGCACGCAGTCTTGGTGCCGCTCCCTGAAGGCTGTAAGGAAAACCCTGCACCATCCTGAGCTGTCAGAGCAGAGATGGAGGGGGAAACTGCCTGCACAAAGTTCTCAGAGGTTCTTCACTGTTACCCTCAGTTGCCCCCCATTCACTTTTTATTCTGATTTCTGTGGGTCCAGTTTGGAGCACCTGGAACTCTAGAAAATGAAAGGGCCTGTGCCAGGGTTGGGTGCAGGACTCCAGACAGGAAGCTTCTGATGACCCTTGGCAGGGAGATTGTTCAGTGTCTCCAGGGTTACTGGGGGGCAGGCTGGGGGGAGTGTGATGCCAGGACCTTGCCCTGGAGGGGCCTCTTCAGAGCCATCTGGGGAAGTCCTTCCATGACATAGACCTGGGGTGCTGCTCACTTGACCATATTTGCCAGGTGCTCAGGGACCAGGTGCCAGGTGCTGAGCAGGGTCTTGCCCTCCTCTGCAGGTGGGAATTAAAATGACTCTTACAGTCAACTAACTTTTTTAGAGATTTTATTTATTTATTTGACAGAGAGAGACACAACAAAAGAGGGAACACAAGCAGGGGGAGTGGAAGAGGGAGAAGCTGTCTTCCCACTGAGCAGGGAGCCTGATGTGGGGCTGGATCCCAGGCCCCTGGGATCATGACCTGAGCTGAAGGCAGACGCTTAACGACTGAGCCACCCAGGTGCCCCGCAGTCAACTATTTCGAATGAGGAACGAGAGACCCCTTTCTGTTAGTGCTGGAGAAGCCAAATGGCTCTGAGTTGAAAGGCCAAAGAGAAAACCCAGCCCTTCGGTCAGAAACGCCAAAAATGATTAAGGAAAGAAAAAAAAATGTTTTCTTCCAATGGAAGGAGATTAGATGAGACTCTTTTCCCAGAAATTCAGGTGGAGTGAACTCAGTCTAAATCTGAACAAGAAGGGGGAAAGTGGGTTCTAGAAGCAAGTGGGCTAACAAGTAGTCCCAGCAGACATGGGAAGGTTGGGCTTGTAAGCCTGCTTGGAAGTGTCCAGACTGAGAACCTTCCCTCAGTCGATGGGTTTACCACGCTGCCCAAAAGCTACATCTGTGATCACACTCTGAGCCTGCAACTGTCTACCTACATAGAGTTGGTTCCTCTAAGACTCCTGGAACTTAAAAGCCAGGGTGCAGAGTCTGAGGGCACTGAGGAAGCCAGGTGGGGGTGGTGGGGTGGCTGGCAGTGAGGCCTTGAATGCTGGTCAAAGGATTGGGGAATGGATATTTTCTTCCATCTTAAGAAAGGACACGAGATACTGTGTCAGGTGCTTTGCACATATCATTGAATCTTTCACAACACATTTATGAGATGTAGTATTCTTGTTTTATGAGGAAACAGGTTCAGAGAAGTGAAGCAACTTCCTCAGTGTCATAGAACTAATAGATGGTGAAGCTCAGATTTGAGTTCCAGTGTTTCTGAACCCCCACTCCATGCTTTTACTACTATGCCATCAAGTAGAGGGGGAAATCGCCTTCTGGGAAGGAACTCCACGCTTGAATAAGGGTCATGTTCAGCCCTGCAATGAGTCCTATTGAGGGAAGCCTGCAGAAAATACTTTTCTGGAAATCTAGAGCAACATTACAAATTGGCTATGGCCTAAGGGGCAGTTATTTAGGGTTGCCTTTGAGAGGAAATAGGAAGAAACCAAACCAGAGAAATGGAGACAATCGACTTGAGCTGAGGGCTTCATGGACATAGTTTTAAATGGTAGAAAGAAAATCAGAATCCTATCCATAAGGTAGTATCTCTGTGATGTCTCAGTTAAGCAAGGAAAGCCAACAGCTTCTGGGGCAGAGAAATCAGTGATTCATGGGTGAGCAAGATGGCGGATTGGCTCATACTCGTTTGCTAAGGCTGCAAGGTCTGCTGAAGGGCTAACACTACTAAGAAGATGCAATTATGGTAGAAGAAAAGGAGTGGGCATCTGGCCACATATTCTCACACTGGGTAGATGATGTATCCCTTACTAAAAGGCAGGTTAGAGCACCCACCTACTATTTTATTCTTCTGGCAGTTAAATCCTAACTTCGATGAACTCATAAATGGCCTTGGGCAACCTCAGTGCTGTTACATTTTGCTTAATCCTCATTATTTCTCATGTTTTCAGTAGAGATATTTGAAGGTGGTCAAGGGGTTAGTGGGCTCTAAATGGAGTGAATCAGAGCATTAACATCTAATTAAAAAAAAAGAGAGAGAAGCCAAAATAAGCAGATATGTGAACTGAGACTAGAAATTTGAGTTATCATCCCCTACTAATTTTAGCACCTGGTTTCACATTAGTATGTTGGGGACAAAACGCTTCCCTTTCAGTGTTGTGAAAATCAATAGGGTATTTAGTATCCAACCATAGCCTGCTAGGAAAATGAGGACTGACTACACTTGCTTTTCTTTCTTGGCAATGCCCTGTTTTAGCCAGGTTAGCTTGCACTACTGGGCAACATCAGTCCACCTTGTGCTGCATCAATCCACATTCTCCCACCAGTTTGCAAATGCCCTGAGTCTAGAAGCCACATTGAAGATAATGTGTGTGCACCCAGGACAGTGCTGCTTCCAAATGGGCATATTCTTCAGGTATGGAAAATATTACATTGAGAATCTTACTCTCCCCGAAAACTGTGGCATATTCTTACCTGTGACACTTGGGTGAGGGTCTAGAAGTGTAAAAAGGGCTCCAGAAAGTCACAAAACAGCAGCCCGGACGCTCTGAGGAACCGACTGGAAGTCAGAAGGGCTTCTGACAAGGTGCAGGCTGTGAAGAGGGAATGATCCGCCTATAAATGGTGTGGATAAGATAAGCACAGACTTGTTTACCAGATCCTGAAATATAGCGGCGCCTTGGAACCACGAGAGGGGCAAGTTCAAGACAAGTCAGCGGAAATACTATACCACATAGCAGGTAAAGAATGTATGGAATGGATTATCTTCCAGAGGTGGCACAAGCTGGAAACCTAAAATGGATTCCAGAAGGGTTTGGACCGATGTGGGAATGGCAGAGCCATAAAGGAGAGCTTCTGGAAGCTAAGATCTACTCCATGTGGTGGGGAGTTCGGGGTGGTCCAGCAGGCCCTTCACTGTGCGTATATGGGGTCTTTGTGGATAATACTCTTGGCCTTGCTAGAGCTGGGCTTTGAGCCAGTTGGCAGTGCCAGTGCTACCTGTCCAGTCTCCAGTCTCAGTGGCCTTTGCCTCGCGAAGATAGCAAAACCCTGTGCTTTTTACCTTAGCCAAGTATTTTCTGCAGGTACCATCTTTTATTTTTAGTCTTGTGCGTGTTTCAGTTTTAGCAGGTTATCCAAAACCCAGCAAGTTCTCCAGCTTAATTATAGCCATTCTAAGAAAGCATTTCCTCTGCTCCCCACCAGCTTCCCTCACAGCCCTCTTAAAAGGCATTGCTTTTTCATTTTCGCTTTGGACTTCTAAACAGATTCGGAGAGCCCTTTTTCATACCAGTTATTATATTTACCTCTTGTGATTAGATTTCTGTTCAGACCTTCCCTTCTAAACTGTCGAATTCTGACAGAAATTACTCTAATTATGAAAGCTCCTCCGAAAAGAGCAGTGACAATATACTTTTCTTGGGAACTCTTTTTAATGCAACATCCAAAATGCCTTCAATGTTGTATCCGGGATGCCAGGAAAAATACTACTTTTATGGCGGTAGCTCCAAATCTTGGCACTGGGGAAAGTTTCGGAAATTCTTGGATGTCTCCTTTGATAATCCACTTGTCTCCCCATGCATCCCTGTCCCTCACTGCATGTGCTTTGCGGTTTCTGTAGGGTTCCTGTAGATTCCAGAGCCAGAGCATCTTGCCTTACCCCTTCCAAAACTGGGGCTGATGGGGTGGGGGCAAGTGTTTGCTTAGAAAACCCTTTGTTTATGCCTCTGGGGTGTGAAGGAGCTCAGTTTTCCTTTTCTGCTTCTGGTGCATAGCCCCCCAGAGTTGTGTCTTGGAAGCTATGTTTACGGCCCTGTGGCTGCCTGTTCGGCGCTCTTTGTTGTGATTTAGCGTTGGCTTTGTTCAAATGGAAGCAGCAGGCCTCTGGATTCCAGTTTTCTGGCAGGGGTCTCAGGGCCGGAGGAGACCCCCACAGAGTTCTTATTTTGCCTCTCTTTGTGGTTCCCCCTTGTCTTCTGCTCTTGTCTTGGGGACGGGTTTATGTATCGATTTATTGAGTGAGGCCACTGTGTGGGTTTCATGTAGCATTTACATGGACGAGATAAAACATTTCTTGCCACTTTGTCGGCGAGACATCTGGGAAACCCCAGCCTGCCCTGCCCAGCACATTCATTCTGGCAGAAGTTTTTGTGAAGGCTGGAATTGTTCATTCCTCTTGCCTCTAGGGCCCATAAAGTAACTGTGCCTTTGAAGTTTGCTTCCTTAACTAGTTCAGTGACTCAGAACCTCAATGTTGCCACCAACAAACTTCCTCTCCCTGGCTCTTTCATGATAGGTAAAAGGAAGGGCTGACAAAAACACAAAATAATGGGATAGCCTTCATTTACTAAGTTGCAGAAATAAACTCACCCTCTCTATTTTTACTACCATTGACTTATTGTTTTCTATGTGCTAAGCAGTGTAGGCCCATTGCCTTTACATTTCTCATA